ATTCACAAAATAATATAACCACAGATTATATTAATAATCTTGCCGAATCATTAGAAACTCTAAATAATGTAATTCATGACAAATTAATATCGAAGCAAACACAAAATTTAGAGAAAATCAATAAGCAACGTGAAAAGGAACCTGAATTAAAAGATCCTATTTTTATTAAGCAATTTGACAGAAATAAAATTAGTCCTCGTTATGGTGCTAAAACACAAGTCAGATTTAGTAAACCAATGGTAAAGCGACAACATTTTGTTTCAGAAAAACCAAAATGTTCCTGGCAGCTTTCATCATCCTCCTCATAGGATTTTCCAGTAACGCCTACACATTAACTCCATTAAGAAATCCTATTTTACCGATTTCTATAGGAACCACTTACATCACAACACAACACAACACTGCATGTTATCACATTAATACTACCCTTATTGGAAACAGAATTGAAACTCTCGAAATTACTTTAAAGAATTTAAACAATACTTTAAATTTCACCAAATGGTCTAATAAAGACGAAATTGTTACTTTATTACAAGTAAATATTGAAACTAGTCAATCACGTATCAATACATTAAAGAAATTTGTAAAACAATTTTCACACGATCAAATTAAACGTGGAGTATTCAATTTTATTGGTACCGCACAAAAATGGTTGTATGGTACATTAGACGCAAATGACGGCGATAGATATGATTCTTACATTCAAACATTAAATGAGAATCAGCAAACTATCGATAAAAATCTAAAAGATCAAGCAAACGTACTTAAACAAGTTACGAAAACATTTCATGATCAATTTTCTACTATCGAAAATAATCAGATAATTATCTCAGACAAGATAATAGTATATTGTTATATTAGGAGTAGAAGCTTTACTTTTTTGTGCTGAAGCAGTAGGTTTGCGAGCCGAACGTAGTGAGGCTTGCAATACTGCTGAAGCACAAAAAAGTGCTTCTACTCCGTATGCAACACGCTATTTTTTCTCCAAACGAATGGGTAAGCTAGGGCGCAACTGAATGGTCAAGCGGCAGTAAAAGTACGAGCGGCACTAAAAGTACTTTTGCTGCCGCTCCAGCGGCACTAAAGGCCGTATCAGACGTGCCGTTGCCGATTCCATTAGCCGTTGCCGTTGCCGTCACGGTTGCAATCACACTTGACACCGTTCCGTTACCGATTACTGGTCACTTGAAATGTTTATAACGTCAAAATGTCGCAGCTAAAATATTCAAAGTACAGCGCCGAACGTCGTCGGAAAGTTTCTTCTGCGTTGCTGTGCTATATGATTATACTGGAAGAAGAGGAAAGAGAAAGATCCAAACAAAATCGGTTTGGGTGCAGCATCAGAAGCGATAAATTACAAAACTAAAAAAGTGACGTTTAGACACATGACACAAGCTGTTCATAAAGCGCTTTCATTGGCTACGGTTCAGAACGGCCTCGTAAAATTTAGACTCCAACCTAAACATACAACGGCAATCGCAACCAGAAGCAGGTACATTTTGATTGGTCGAATTCCCAATCGTAATCGTCAATAGTAATCGGCAACGGCACGTCTGATACGGCCTTAAAAGTACTTCTACTGCCGCTGCGGTTGCCTAGCAGCATAGAAATTAAATTTCTACCACCTCGACAGGTGTTAACCCGCTGGATTTGCCTACCAGCATAGAAATTAAATTTCTAACATCTTGACAGGTGCTGACAAAGTGACGTTTTTTTGACGTTTGAAGAAAATAGTATATTGTTGTATTAGGAGTAAAAGCTTTACTTTTTTGTGCTGAAGCAGTAGGTTTGCGAGCCGAACGTAGTGAGGCTTGCAATACTGCTGAAGCACAAAAAAGTGCTTCTGCTCCGTGTGCAACACGCTATTTTTTCTCCAAACAAATGGGGTAAGCTCGGGGGTAACTGAATTGTTAAGCGGCAGTAAAAAGTACGAGCGGCACTAGAAGTACTTTTGCTGCCGCTCCAGCGGCACTAAAAGTACTTTTGCTGCCGCTGGGGTTGCCAAGCAGCATAGAAATTAAATTTCTACCAGCTCGACAGGTGTTAACCTGCTGGATTTGCCTACCAGCATAGAAATTAAATTTCTGACATCTTGACAGAGATTAACAAAGTGGCGTTTTTTTGACGTTTGGAGAAAAAAAATATTTCGACGGATAATCAAAATATTCAAACTATCTTAATGATGAATCTAATTTTAGAAAATATTAATATGCACAGTAGTAAGCTGCGAGAAATTATTAGCCACATACAAAACGCAATAAGCTTTGCACGCGTAGGCATAATGCACTATACAATTCTGCAGCATCATGAGTTATATTTGATCTTGAAAAATATACCCGAGAGAGAACAAATACCCTTTGATAACGTAATTAAATACTATGAGACAATGTCCTCTCATATAATTATTCAAAAGGAATTAATTATTTTCACTATATTCACACCAATAATTAATCCTAAACCTTTTATATTGTATAAATTATATCCTATGCCCATCCAAAATTATACAATTAGTGTTAACTATCCTTACCTTTTACTTACCACAGACACGTATTACAACGCTTTACAAAAATGTCCAAATGTTGAAGACATTTATTTGTGCAAAATGGAACTATTGAAACAAGATGAGCCCTGTGTTCACGACATTGTATCTAGTGAACAACAATCATGCCCATTCACGAAAATTCAATATGAAGAATCGACAATTGAAGAAATACCCAATAATCAAATATTGGTTATTCCAAAACGACATATGACAGCAATGCTGCAATGTGACCAGAAGAAGTACATGGAAATCATTTCCAGTCCAATCGTAATTTCCAAAGGTAAATGTTCAATAACAATTAATAATCGAACATTTTTGGAAGACACGCATGAGAACTTAAACCTAGAACTAGAACTACCCATCATAGACATTCCTGAACTTCTAGAGAATACCACAACTGTAAGACTAAAAACAGTCGACCACGAAGCTCTTCAATCAGCGATTAAAGAAGTAAACAATTCTCCTTTCCTATGTTAATTATAAGCGTACGCCTATGTCAATACTAATAAATATATAAAACTGCTTAATCAGCGGTACTGCACTGGTAGTACCACCACCTGCATTGGAAAATGCTTGGATCAGCAAATATTTATTATTTAAGCCAGAGCTTTCCAGTAAGGAGCGTTCATTTATTTTCAGGCACTCCCTGTAGCAATTTGATCCACATATTTTCCGATTGTCACTATTGTATTTTAATTAATAAAATAAATGTTTTTTAAAAATACAAGTTTCTGAATCGAAAATATAATTAGTGTTTATTACATAAAATTCAACGTTGTATCTACTCAAAATTAGATGACGAGTACAGCGTTCAACAAACAAAAATAGCTTTAAATCCTATAGATGATAAGAGATACACTCTTCCTGGGATTCATGATACTCTTCCTTGGGGTCACTACTCCATTATGGATTCTCCATAATCATGTATACCTACATATTTTTATATTTTTCTCCCGTGTAAATTATTTTTATATATCTATATATGAATATTATAATTGTATTTTGTATTTTAATATAATTTTATTACATAGTTGTTTATATTAAATAAAATATGTATTTAAATATCATAGATTTTTATTTTGAACTCAACCTAGAAATAAAGAAAACTACAGGATGTTAAATTACATAATATTTTATTCAAGCATTTTGCAAATTCATTTTTCTATCTAAATCGTTTAAAACCATATCTCTATTATAAAATAAACATTCACTAATACAGCACAACTTCATAAAAGTAAATGGTTCTAAATTTAACATTACATAATTCCAGTCAAATTAGGGAACGCGAAAATCAAAGATTACACCTACACCCTGATACATTATTATGTCTTGAACCCAAGAATACGTGAAATAAATAAGCTTCACGTAAAATCTAATAATATTACAAACATTCTTAATGGACATCAAGAATATTTTGAAGACATTAGCAATTACATAAATTTGTTGAAAATAACACAGAATATATCAGAGATTATTCCTCAACCACAAAGAATTGAAAGAGGATTGATTAATGGCTTAGGATCAATATTCAAATCTGTAACTGGAAACCTAGACGCATCTGACGGAGAACGTTACGAGCATATCATTAGGGAATTACAAAACAATCAAAATAGTTTACAAGAAAGTGTTCTGAAAGAAAACTCGCTTTCTCTAACAGTAATCGAAAAATTTAACCAAACTATTAATCAAATAAATCACAAAGAAAAACTTCTAGAATCAAAAATTAACCAAATTGCACACATGGTACAGAAGGCAGCATATAGAGAAAATTCCCTCTATATCAAAGACATAATAAATCAAATAGTCAATATCTATGAGATAATTGACTCTATTTTACAAGATATAGAAAATTCCTTAACTTTTTCAAAATTGAAAATTATGCATCCAAGCATAATAAAAACTGAAGACCTTTATCATGAATTAAAAAAACTTCAACAGCGTTTAAGTTCTGAGCAAATGCCCCTAGCGGTTACTTTGGAAAATACTTCACTTTTTGAAAAAATAATTGAACTGGAATCTTTTGTCATTAATAATAGAATAACATACCTAATACATATACCAATAATATATTCGGAAATTTTTGATTACTTTCATTTATACTCGGTTCCAATACTTTCTCAGAGTCAGTTTAAGGTTGTTTTACCGCGAAATAAATTCTTGCTGAAAAATAAATTGCACTACACATACTATGGCCAAGAATGTCAAGAAGTCACTCCGAAGTTCCATATTTGTGGAAAAGAAGACATCCACAAAATCCAAGAAGACAGCCCATGCGAAATTAAACTACTCCACTCTGACAAAAATACCTCCACCTGCGAACAAACCAAAGTTGAAGTCCCGCAAATTATCATCAATCGATTGGACGATTCCAATCAATGGTTGCTGACTTGTTAACTCATGGAATAAGACAAAACTGGACTTTTTATTTTATTTATTTGTGTTTTCTAAATCCCCTTGATAAATTTGTCCTTCATTTTTTTCCTTTTGCAACTAAAAAATAAATAAATGAATCAGATACTTACTAAAAAAAAAAGAAATTATACCATTCCATAGTCCGGCAATAGCTCGCTTCATAGCACTCTGACAAAAATTTAGTACATTAGTACTCTCTTGTCGTTCTTCTTTCTTTTGTTCAAATTCTGAGCGTTTTCTTTTCAAATGAGTCCAAGGTTTTTGCAGCCACACCAGTACTCGACTGCTGTGAGTTCTATTGGTTGAATGTTGTTCTGGAGGATCTTCATTGTTTGTACCTATCTCAATAACGTCAGTTTTATCAAGGATTTGTTGTATATTTTGTGGAATATCCTCAAAACTTGAAATTTTTTGAGTTTGGTCAACGGTTTGGTGCATCATAAATAAAGTTGAAAGTGAGTTCGATATAGAATCTCCGCTACCTCCATTCTTATATTTTGCATTATTGGGCTTAAAATTTTCTATTGTTTGTCTAAAAACCATTAAAATGAATAAATTTTGTAATTTCAAAAAAAAAACTGCTACTTTTTGTCGCTATCAAGGTAATTAGTATCAATCTTTAAATGTTTTATTCCTATATCTGTAGAATAAGGGCTACAGATATTTATAGAAACAGCTGCATTTAAAGGTCCAAATCTTTTTAGTGCATCTTTATTTCCAAACTGCTCATCTGCCATTTCAGCTCTAACTCTACTGTAAAATTAAGTTAGAAAAGGTTCTTTGAAATAATTTTTTTTGATTTTACCCATCGCTACTACCATCATCCTTTTTTTGAGCCTTCTTATCGGCACATTCACTATCAAAGCTACAACCACAGTTGGCTGCAAATGGACTACATCCACACTCATACGTCTCGGCTTTCTTTATTTTGTTAATAGATTTGTTTGATTCATGGAAACCTCCTACCATTTTTTGATACACATTATTGAGCCTTTGTATTTCGTTCTTTTGAGCATTTAGCTCAGTGATGAGATTGTTGAATTGTCGATTAGTGTCTTTACCTTGCATCTAGAAATATTATGAATCAACTTTTTATATTGATATACACCTCGATATACACATAAAATTTACTCACTTTTATTAACATTCGCAAAGATTCTGCCTCTCCAGCAGGCATAGCACCTCCACTTCTTGACCCATAAGGCAGGATAATTGTGTTACGACAAGCTCGATGACAATCTCGTCTTTGGCGGCCACATTTATCACAAATCATAGCTTCTTTGGATTGTTGTTTCTGCTGTTCTGTTTTTGATGCTTTTTTAAATAAGTTCTTCCGTGACTGACTAATTTCTATGTCTCGTTGTATGTTTTGTTCTATGTTTTCGGTCTCAATTTCTTGAGCGTTAGGAGTTGTTTTATTTTCCAAAATTTTTTGTACTAAATTTCTAGCGTTTTCGTTCTCAATTTCTTGAACGTTAGAAGTTGTTTTATTTTCCAAAATTTTTTGTACTGAATTTCTAGCGGACATTTGGGTGCCTATTTCTGAATCTGTTGAGGTATGCACAGCTTTTCGATTATTTTCATCAGAGAAATAGGTTTCATCGCCTTTGTCGTGTTGAGTGATGGACATAGTTTGTATGGAACGCACACGTCCTATGACACCCTGGCAATGTTCTTCGCATAATTTTTTCTTTTTTCTCCTACCAAAACAACCTGTGGTTTTTTTGTCTTTTCGGTGATTCATATTAGGTGACTCACTGATATTGGATGTTTTTTTGTCTTTTTGGCGATTCATATTAGGTGACTTACAGATATTTGATAAGAATTTAAATTTTTTGTTTTTCTTGGGTTTCTTTTCATTTTCTAAAAATAATTACAAAATAGGTTATATAATTGCCTCTTTCCAAACAATCAAAACTATTCATCCCAAAGCTGTTGAAATCATGGCCAAAGAACAAACTTGACAGGTAGAAGAGCCCCGCGTCTAGCCCAAGTGAATCTTTAAGCTAGATCTATTGTAACCTCTATTGCGGCAAGATTTTTCTGCTTCTCTTTGTCCTAGTGTCACTAAATACGAAGGACATGGAAGCACAAGAGGTTTTAGTACAAGAGCCCGTGACACAAAAGCCTCAGTTATCTGTTAGAAGATCTTTTTTAGCGGCGCGGTATGCCAAGTCCTCAGCCTAGAAAAAATATTGGTTGACGCGTTCCGGTATGCAGAAGCTGAGGGGTGGATGAGTTTCCACCGCCCCAAAATAAAGCTTTCTGTCTTATGAGTCAGATGATTTTTTTTTGTTGTGAATATATAATATGGACCGGACCTACTGAGTCCTGGTCCTGAACAGGAACGGTTGGCGGGCCTTCCCCCTCTCTTCACCATGCCCATCGCGTCTAAAGTAAGATTCGGAAGCGAAAGTTCTACCCCACAAGTCTAAGGCCTAAGGCGCCTTGGGCTTTCTGCCTGCTGCCTTATGAGTCAGAAGCTTTTTTTTTTGTTGTGAATAAATAATAATATGGACCCACTAAGGCCTGAACAGGAACGGATGGCGGGCCTTTCCCCTCTCACCATTCCCACTGCGTTTAGGGAAGTTTTGCAAGGGAAGTTCCTATCCCACAAGTCAGAAGGACGGAAAAATTGAGAATGGGGTAATCGAAGACGATCAAACTATTCACGTCTTTCAAAAACCCTATACTAGGAGCCCCTTATACAAAAATTCGAATTCGTTCAAGTTAGAATAAAAATCAAACGAGAAGAAGCCATTGAGGTCAGCGCTGACAAAGAAAGCAGATTTCCTTTTCTCTGGGTCCCTCCCATTTAAAGCTAGACAAACGATAACCCGTGTGGCTTCTTCTCGTTTGATTTTTACTCTATGTATTTCCAATTCTTTTTTTGAAGATATAACAGAAACTGATGAACAGCAAGAAAAAAATAAACTATACCATATTAGACATCTCATCGCGGAGTTACAAAAAATGTTTCATCTTTAAAGAAACGATATTATTGGCCTAATTTAGAAAAACACATACAAGCATATGTCAAAATATGTGAAATATGTAATAAGACAAAATATGAAAGGCAATCTTACAAAATAATATTCAAACCACGCAGTTCAAAAAAGTCAATTCTCAGCAGTCGTACGGGACGGTTGTGTTTTTCCGTTCGTAGGCTCTGCGGGTGTTGAATGTTTGTTTTGTTTGTTTTGATTTGATTTGTTTGATGCTTTGTTTTGAACCAACAACACATCGAAGTGTTATTGTTCGCTGTGCGTGTACTTTCGCTAAATTAATTTTAAACTAGTTCCTGTTTTATAAACTAGTTCCTGTTTTACCGGTAATGTTCCTGTGAAATTATTGTACTTGAACCTTGCGTGTATTGAACTTCAGCCTTGCGTCGTTGCTTTTCTTTGTGCAAAAATGGCCGAGTTTAAGTGTGACTCCTGTCAAAAAATCACCTCTGACAAGGACAAGTATAAACTTCGCTGTAGCGGTGAATGTCGCCGGCATTTCTGTATGAGCTGCACTGGTCTGGATAAAACGACAACGAAGATGCTCTGCCAACAAAAGTATCACAATATTAGATTTTTCTGTAGTGTCTGTGATTCTCCAACGTTAAAATAACTTCACGATAAAGTGTCTCAGCTACAGAAGGGCCAAATCCCTCTGGAAATTGTAGAGGCTCTGGGTGCATGTCTTAAGAACAGTGAAAAACTTCATCCGGTCATTTCAGAAATCTACGACACCTTAAGCGCTCATGATTCCAGGTGGAGCGACTTATCCAAGAAAGTGGATGACATACACAACCACCATTCTGAGTACTCTGAGAGTGGACAACAATCTCTATTCCATTCAATTAGGGAAATGAAACGAGACTTGTGCAACATTTCGTCGATCTTCATGGACGGTCATGATGAGTCTATAAAGGTTCAGGTACATGACTCTTCAAAAGAAGAGTTAAGTGAAATGGCAGATTTGAGGAAATGTGTCAACCAAATGGCGCTCACGTTGGAAAAGTTAGCAGGCAAAGAGAAACCGTCTACTAGGAGCAGCCCGCCACCTGTAAAAAAGTCAATTACAGCGTCGATTTAAACCCAGACCGATAGTGAAGAGACATCCCCTGTTACGCAAGTGGTCATTGATTCCCGAGTCTGTCCCCCGCCTCAGAATTCCACCCTAAAAGAAAACTGGCATTATGTGGTAGTGTCAAAAATCCCCCATCCTTTTACAGTAAAACAGCTTGCTCATTTTGTAAAGGAAAAACTTGGAACCACGGAGTTTATCAGATGCTTTCCAATGCTCCAAAATAAAGACTGCTCTCACACTGATTTCAAAGTTGGTGTTCAAAACAAAAATCACCTAAAGCAGCTTTTGGACAGAAGCATGTGGCCTCCAGGTACGGGTATAGAGACTGCTAATTCATCTGCAACACTTTTAAAGGCATCGCCACCGTCGGCAGCAATTACAGTAGATCCGCAGCATCAGTCTCATCACCATTTCAAACCCAACACTGCGGAGGGCCGAAGTAGACCACTAAACTCTGACTCAACCCCGATTAACCCGACTTAAGGATGATAAAACTATCAGGATTGGTTCTGACAGGGAGGCTATAGCTGTTTCTAAGTCCCTGGCACTAGACAGCACAAAAATTGTTATGGATACAAGTAGAAAAAAAGATGAATCAATCATGGACCCGATGACTCCACCCATTGTGCGATTATCGCGAGCTTCCGATACAGCTGATGGTCGATATTTATTGGCTAGACTAAGAGACCCTGCCATTCTTAAAGCTCTTAGGCTATTCCTGGCTTATCTCCATGACCAACCATCCACCGTGTGTTTTGATGGGCACACTAACACCAGCATCAAATTAATGTTAGCTTCGGAGGGACTTCCTAGTGACTTGGACTCATTGCGGAAGTTATATTTCCGTTTCCACAACGCGTTTGGCATTGGTCAGGCTGAAGTTGACGCTGATCTCTCCGCCTTCAGGTCTTACTTCTCGTCCAAGAAACTTCTCCGGTTACAGAATATTAGGGAAAGTCAGAGCAAATATTTCTCTAGTGGCTCTCCACGTAATAATAAAAAATTTTAGATAAGGTGACGCGACCAGAGGATCAAGCACCCTCTGTAAGGTTGGACGATGGCAAGCTTAGTGTATTTCTTATTAATATTCAGTCCTTAAGACACAAAACAGATGAATTATTTTTTTTATTAGAAGAGCTTAATTTTCCAGAAATCATCGCCATTACTGAACACTGGTTAAATATGGATGAACCTGTGTTTGTCAAAAATTACACCTCAATAGCTAGATTTAATCGAAGTAATTTATCTCACGGAGGCACTATGATAATGTCCACTAATAATGACTTTACGGCAATAACCAAGTTTGATAATCTATTATCGGAAAAAATATTTTAATTTTCCATCGTCTATCATAGTGGCTTTAACCTTTATATTGTTCGTTTATATCGATCACCGGACACAGACGCGCACATGTTTTGTCGGAATTTGCTGAGCTTGCTTGACTCCTTGCCCTTGAATTGCAAAATAATTTTATGTGGTGACTATAATATAAATTTTTCCTGTGTGTGCGCTGCTCAAGAATCTCTCCAGTCCATTTTCGACTCCTTTGGGATTGTGATGCATGTAAACTCTCCAACCAGAATAACCAAAACTAGTTCTACTACCATTGACTATGTCGCTTCATCTTTTGATCCAGAATTGGTCAACTGTTCTATTTTTAGTGCAGGGTTTTCTGACCACGAAGCAGTATTAACGAATTTCTCATTGAATTCCTTACGTAAGGGTGCTTCCCGCAAATTGGGCAGAATATTTTCGGATGGAAATTTTTTAAATTTCAGTCAACTTTGCTTATCAGTTGACTGGGTCGTCCACTCAGATGATGTTGACTCCGAGTTCTCTAGATTCATAAATACCCTATCTGACCTGGCGACTAAATCCTTTCCTCTCAGACCCATCAAAGTCAAACGGCATAAACCATGGTCCACTAGTGGCTTGCGTACTTCTGGAAAAAATATGCGATCCTTGTCTCATCTAAAAAAATTCTCGGATAGCGTCTTCTTCAATGATTACGTAAAATTATACCGAAAAGTCTATCAGAAAACCATAAAAGCCGCCAAAGACATTTATTATAATAGGAGGCTGGCAAACTCCAAAAATGTTGCAAAAGAAACATGGTCAATTGTTAATGACTTGAGGAATAAGGCTTCTTCATCTAGCAAAATTCCTACTTCACCTGAGATCCTTAACGATTACTTTGTTGATGTGGCTAAGAATTTAGTGAATACCTTAACTCCTTCCCAGGACCCACTTTCATATCTCCCGAATGCTAAAGTGAACTTACACAGTTTCTTCTTCACGCCTGTAGTAGTTCCAGAGCTTCGCAGTACAATCAAAGATATTAAAAACAAATCTTCATCTGGGACTGATGGACTCACCCTCAAAATGTTCTCTAATCTTCCTGATTGCACATTAAAACATCTTACTACTCTGATCAACAAGTCGTTTCTAAATGGAGCTTTTCCAAACTGTCTTAAGATGGCGATAATTATCCCACTGCATAAGGGAGATGATAAGGAGCTACCTTCAAACTATCGCCCCATTGCACTTCCTACGCTATCAAAGATCATAGAAAGATTGGTTAAAAAGAGGCTTCTATCATTTCTCTCTAAATATAATATTCTAACTACCAGTCAATTCGGTTTCCTAAGTAACAAATGTACTAATGATGCAATGTTTTCCCTTTTCAATAATGTATACTCCAGCCTGAACTGCCACCACTCTACAGCCTCAATTTTCTGTGATTTCTCCAAAGCTTTCGACTGTGTTAATCATAATATCTTAAT